TTCACTACTCAATCAACACAACCCCTACAATCATACCCCCCCTTCCACCTCATCTCGCCAACGACAATACACCTAGGATAGTTCAAAATATTTCTCATCCCCCCAGGCGACAATGACCTTGTTTGTAAGGCGCGGCTATCGACTAGAATAGATCAGAAATTCGAAGCCGAGATATCCCTGTTCACCAATTTGCCTGTATGCCTAATGTTTGTAAAGTTCGTCACCGCTTCTCACCCACCAACCACCCACACCGCTCATCGTGTCTTTTCTAGTTCTCGTTGTCATTTCTTGTCGTACAGCGTTCATCCTTGTTATGCTTTGTAATAACAGAGCCTCACCGTACATATCTGGGTACATACGTCATCGTCACCGTCGCCGAAGTTGAGAAGTTTCGATGTTGCTACCTGACCGGCTAGAGTTTGCGTCGATGCACTCACCGCATTGTCGACCTCGACCCGACGAATTTGGATTGCATGACTGTCTCGTGGGTCGCTAAAGTATTGCGACTGCCCGTCTAGACAAAGTGGCTCACGTAGCAAGTGCGACTTTGCGACTGCCCGTTTAGACAAAGCAACTCACCCAGCACGTGCGACTTTGCAAACTCGAGCCATTTGTGCCACAGTGTCTGGTGAGCTAATTGCCATACTGCAGTTGATATAGAGACAGCTTATTGTAAGAGTATAAGATGTACAAACATTTGTAAGAGTAGTTGTAGGAGTTATCGTAGTAATCACAGCAGCATCAAACCTATTGCAATCATACCGTATACTAAAGTACAGTCTCAAAGACCAAGCCCAACCTATGACCAGACCGCAGTCTGGGTCAAAGGCGCACTCTGTTCTTTCTGAGCAATCACAGCAGTTGCCTAAGCAAGCCACTGACTGCAGCGTGCATGTGCTTACTTAAACTTCGCTTATCAGCTGGCAGGCGCAGCAGGTATCCAGCAGGCAGCAGCCTTGAGAGCACTTCTGCCCCGCACCTCTCACCATCCACTTCTCATCACTGGCAATAGCGGACCAGGCGAGGGAATGAGTAACAAGTAAGTCTGCCACAGTTTCAGTGTGTGCTGACTCCAGCGCCGTGTAGTTAACGAGACAGGTGCCACCTTCCGTCCATCGTCCATCCCGATCGTCCCCCAAAGGTCCCGTCACGACATGGAGCGAGCACGTGCTCTGGATGCACCCGAGGATATCGGTACTTCAAAGAAGCGAAAAGGATCTGTGGACCTCCCGGCTGCAACTGATCAGAGCCTTGGAGACACACCTAACACAAGTGACGAAACAGTTCGTCAAGAATCGAGTAGCCTTTGTTCCCGGTGCTCGTCCATTGATATCGAGAGCTTTTTCGACTATCCGGAGACCAATAGAGTATACAAGTTGATGACTCTCGGAGGACTCGGAGAAGAAGCTGAGCTGTTGTCATGCTCACTATGTCGCCTTTTCCAGGCGGTGAGGATACAAGGTAGTACTCAAATCGAGGACTATGCTCTATACTGCATATATGCTGATGCTGCCTACGGATTCGGATATGGAACAGTGCTAGCTGTAACCTACGACAACGTTAGACTTTCTGAGTTTTTTCAGTATATTCCGAAATCCTCAGCGCTTACAGAAAGAGCCAGCTTCATTGCATATTCAAGCGCGTCAAAGACGGCTCCACACGGCCATTCACTTCGAGCGCAATCTATTGATGCCATCTCGATCGACTTCGACACCATTCGAGGTTGGATACAGCTTTGTGGTCGAGAGCACACAAAGCAGTGCACCCAAGTGGAATCATCGACCTCGAGTCTAAAAGAGCTGAAATTGATCGACTGCCATCAGCGACTGATCGTGCCAGCGTTGCCGACGTACAAGTATTCTGCACTCAGCTATGTATGGGGTACGAGCAGATCTGACGATGATCCGTGTGTCGATAACAGACTTCCCACATACCTTCCACGCACTATCGAAGATGCCCTGAAAGTCAGCAAATCGATAGGTCTTCGATACATTTGGATCGATAGATATTGCATCGACCAAGAAAACGATGCTGAGAAACAAATCCAGATACAGCAAATGGACCTCATATATCAAAATGCGTACGTGACTATCGTCGCTGCAGCAGGCACTGATCCATATTTCGGCCTTCCTGGCGTTGGCGCTACCCCGAGAACTCCCCAACCAAGTGCCTGGATTCGAGGAAAACACCTTGTATCAACCCTGGTAGACCCGCGGAAGCTCATCAAGATCTCCAAATGGATGCATCGAGCATGGACATATCAAGAGAGCTTTTTTTCGACCCGACGTGTTGTTTTTACAGAGCAACAAGTATACTATGAGTGTCAGACTGGTCTTGCTTCCGAAATAGTCGATGATCCCAACGAATGGTCGTCGGGAATTTTCAGCGACCAGAGCGGGGATGAGGCGCGTAGTCCCTGGAAGATTTGCGATCGCCTGACTGATTACTGTGGGAGAGAACTATCTGTCAGCTCCGATGCTATACGCGCATTTGAAGGAGTGTTCCATAGCTTCAGGAGAAAGCAGTTTCCTGTTCATGAGTACTTAGGTATTCCCATCATGCCATCGAAGCCTGAAGGGTGGGAAGGACATCACGACCTGAAAATTTGTAGTAAGGGCGAAGCTTTCGCTGCCGGGCTCTCCTGGTGCAATATAGCATCAGGTACCAGACGTTTCCTTTTCCCTACATGGAGTTGGGCTGAATGGAATGTGCCAATCAATTACGAAACTCAACCATGTCGGAGAGGGCTCCAACTGGAAAAGGAAAGATCGTTGAGGATTTTCATAGAGAACCATGATGGATCACTTTCAGATATGGATGAGCAAAACGACCACTCGTTGGAGATGGGCATACCTGGTTCCTCCGGAAGATTTATTCACATTGAAGCATGGACAATACCTATCGATATTCAGTACTCTCTCGACGAGACGAACCGCTGGATCTCTTTGAAACGCACATTTCCATATGATAAGAATTACTCTGGGTATCTTGCTACATTCGAAGGTGATGAACATATTCTGCGAATTCCGCTGATCTCATTGTATCAGCAGTATAACAAGGGCTCTGCTACACAGCAAAGCTACGCGCCAGATCTTCAACAAGGTAGTCTGTTAGGTATCGTGTTAGGCAGATGCGAAACCCTCCCATCGGATGTTTTCACTGATGACACATTTGTCATGATCGTTCATGAGAAAGAGCATTATTACGAACGAGTTGGACATATGGTGATAAACCTTTTCTCCTACTACTTCGCTACAGCTGCAGGTAATTATGTTTCTGTAAGAACTTGGCCGCTTTGTTTTCGTTTGAAGGAAAGGAGGACTATTCGTTTGGGTTGACGGAAGCTTACAAGGTCGTGTCTAGTGAGATTATAGTATGTTGGATGTCAGAATTCCTCTGAAAACGCAGTTAATGCGACGTGTGACACAGACCACAGAAGCAGAACATAGTTAAAAACACACTACCGTGAATGTACCCAGTCCTATGAGAAGGTTCAACCCGCACAAGTTACGAAGTCGGATACGTTAGTCGTGATGCAGCCTACTGACTAAGATCTAGAGCACTACAATCAAGACTCAGACTCCTCTTATCTAGGTCATCGCCGTCAAATTATAGATGATACTACTGAAGCACCGACAGCTCGCATTTACATAAACACCGCTACGTCGTGTTTAGATTGATGCGCATCGGGATCAATAGTCGTATGTCAACTGGCCATGATATCCTACACACAGTCACAAAAGAGTCCTAAGCACAACCTCGACGTGTTCACAACACCATTACAGAAACATGACGAACTATTCGGCTAGTCACGAACCTCCTATCCTTGGTATTGTATCCGGCGATCAAGTTCCTTCTACTGCACATTGCACATGGACACGGTGTATGAAGAGATAGAACCCGTCCTAACAAATTGTCGCAGTTTTCGTGGTTCAGTATCGCGATCGAACAACAGGACCACCCTACCCTGCATACGCGGCTACCACGGCTACCGGCACTTTTCGGAAGCCTGTCACCCAGTCTAGCCTCAACACCACAGCGCACGGCCTCGAGGCTGATACCTGCGCCACAGCATGCATCGTCACTGTGGCGCATGTCTGTCTCATTCGTTGGGCCACATCAGAAATATGGCCTTGGTGAACGGCTAGTACGGCGGCTTAGTCGAATTGCATGGGCGAGGAATGTGCCGATACCCTGCATTCGGTCCGCGTCTGCGTCGTAAGCTGCTTTGAGCGGGTGGTAGGGGAACAGTTAAATGTATAAGGGTTCGCCCACTTTTTCGTTCAGCCACAGAACAGCCACATCTTCAGTTTCCCATCCTAGTACAACCACGAGAGGATCTTCACGAGAAAGAAGCACGACAACCTACCACATCAACGCGGATTAGTCACACCCACACAATGCCATCAAGCACAGTCAGTCTCCCTGTTCCCATCCCCCCTCCATTCTATCCCCATCACTCCTTACTAACCACCATTATCACAGTCAACAGTCCTACTCTACTTCCTCGCAATATGGATACCTTTCCTTCCTGTCGCCATGAAGCGTGGTTGCGCCGCTGATCTCTTCATCAACATCGCGCTCTGCATCCTCGGCTGGATCCCTGGTGTCATTCACGCATGGTATATCATTAGTCAGACTGAGAAGGTCGCTGTGGCTTGAGAGTTTGGGGAATGTGAAGGAGCGCCGGCATTAAGAGGGTGAATCGCGGTAGGGGAAGGGCGTTTGTTTAAACTGCGGCGGACCGCATGCATTGTTTCGATACAGAGGAGCCAGGAGGTAATTCTTGAATTGTGTGTTAAAAAGAAGATTTTGTTCCTGGGTGGCAGCGGGATCTAACTGAAGTACGCGACCGTGCACCACCCTGAACCGTTGAAGCTCCTTCCGTCATCCCGAAACTCCACACGTTTGCTGCAGCCCAACGTCATCAGTCCACCAGCCCACCAACCCATCTACCCCCAGATTACCCCATTTTGAACCAAACTTATCGCATGCGCACAATGTCATCCGACTACGGATCGGACATTGACTCCGACGTCGCAGATGCCGTCGATGAGATTGTTTCGTCGCAGCAAGCTCCCCCTTCCTCCGCGCAAGTCCCACGACCTGCGCTAAAGCCACTGAACACAACAAACACATCTCTCACACCACCATCATCCCATGATAAATCCGATGGAATCACCCTTCAGCAATGGCACCAAGCTGCCTCAACGCCGCCGCCCTCGGCCTCATCATCAGATGCCGAACCGTACCGCCTGACGTTTGGCAAACATGAGGGCAAGACGCTTGCGGAGATACCAACGTCTTATGTTACGTGGTTGATTAGGAATCCGATTTCGAGTAGGCCGATGGAGTTAATATATGCGTTGGAAGAGTGGCAGGAGGAGAAGAAGAATGGGAGGAAGGCGGCATCGCAAGCGTCGCAGTCGCAGTCGCAAGCATCGCAGACGCAGGCATCGCAGGTGTCGATGTCGTCGCAACCGCAAGCGACATCTTCGAAGATGCCGCTCTCTCCACCGCCCTCTCAAGCGTACCAGGCCCCTCCTCCATCGTCACAATCTGTGCTATCGAGCACGCATGTCTCGAAATATACAAATCCTCCTTCGCCATCTCGTTCGCCCTCACCACCACCTAGCACACAACAATCACATCCTCCATCGTCACAGGTCATGCCACCACAGCTTGCGCCGTCGCAAAATTATCCTCCTCCCTCTTCACAGCCCACGGCACCTCAAGAACCGCATGGTGCACCTCTATACGTCCTTCCATTCGGCGAATATAAAGGCAAGACTCTGCTCGAGGTACCAGAGGACTATCTCTACTATCTTGGTGCGAGCGAAGACAAGTTGGCTACTTTGCCTGGTCTGGCTAACGCGCTCGGCATGATGCAGAAGGGTCTACCACCTGTCGTTACGGAACCCATGGCGCCGAGCAAGTCGTCATCGCAGACTCTACCACCGCCATCATCTACACCTGGCCCGTATATGGACTCTGCACCGCCTGCATCCAGTCAAGTTTCTGTGGCCAATCAACAGGCGCCGCCACCACCTTCGACTGCGCCTAGCCATTATTCCCTCTGCAAGGACGACGTCCCGAGTAGTTCGCAACCTCTCGCACCGCAGCTCTCTGCCTCGCAACCGACCCCACAACCCTCCTCATCACAACCTCCACCCCGTCGCGAACCATACCGCTTCGACTTTGGCAAGTACACCGGGAAAACCATCGCCGAAGTCCCTCCCGACTACATGGCCTACCTCGACAAAGAAGGTGTCATCAAGCAACGTCCCGACCTTGCCGCTGGAGTTGACGAGTACGAACGCCACCACCCACCCATTGGGACGCCGCACAAGGGAGAATACAGGTTCACGTTTGGCAAGCATGTGGGAAAGACATTGGCAGAAGTGCCCTCTCAGTACATCTGGTGGCTCAAGAACAACACCACTATTCCCAAGGACAAACCTGAATTGGGGGCCGCTATTCGACAGCTTGAGCGGACTCAGAAGCGTACTCAGACTAAGACACAGAATCGGAGTCGGCGGAGGGCTTGGTCACCGATGTGCCCATGTTGTGATTGAGCGCCCATTGCAAGGATGCTTTACTTCTCATTCAAATATTCACCACGCACGCTAATCGAGGTTTAATGCTGAACGCATCCGCAAACTGAAAGATCACAACATTTCCTGGCTTGAATCTTGTCCGTCAGTTCTTCGAACCAGACCGGACATTGCGCATTCAAGAGTTCGGATGGCTCCTCCACGCTTATTCAAGGCGGCTCGTCAAAGCGAATAACCAGCAAGCCAAGTCTGGTCCACGGATGACCCATGCTACATCCATACTGCGCTGCAGGCCGATATGGTAGTGCATGAGATTCATGCATGAGTAGTGGCCGCTGCGACCATCTGCCATCATGTCACGCGTCGCTACTATTGTCGTGCGGTACGTTCCTTCGTCAGCCCTGGCATGAGTCAATCACCCGTCTGCTCCCATGGGTATGCACTACTCCACCAATTGCGATGTGCATATCATGGGCATTAGCGCGCACGTCACGATTTTCGTTCACACTGGGAGCTCTTGTACCCAGGGCATTCTCACGTCGCTGAGACTACAATATCTGTCTCAGCTTTTCGATGGCCAAATCCTCTCGTAGCCCCACGAGCTGACCCTTAGAAAGACTTGATCCTTGTAGATAGCAAGTCTACACCGTGTAGATAGTTTATTTGAGCTTCAATGTGATGCCTGTCGAGTGGATGGATGTCACAGTTGTCGTTTGTCATCTTAACAGATTTACCAACGACAGTTGTGACATCCGTCCACTAGTCAGACATCACGTTGGGGGTCATTTCAGTCACCAAACGAATGGTATGTAAGGGTTACATGTATTCAGTAAAACGGGCTTTGTATGCAGGCTACGATCAGCAATGTGGGTGTTGCTTGTACCAACAAATAGTCCATGTTGCGGCCTCCATGCGTTGGAAAGCCATACCATCCTTCTTTGCTACGAGTCGGCCAGCGCCTTCTGTCATTGGCAGCGCTGAACAGGGGTCGCGAGAATGTACATGAGAGGCTGGGCAGGCGCTGGACGTTGCGAGGCCAGGCGACCCGTTGCTTAGCCGCAGCCAACGAGGCTGAGGCGTCTAATCTTTAGCATTGCCACCCAATGCCCCAGATCAAAACCAGCGCATGCCGGCTCTAAGGCCGTAGCTCCCGGTCTCAACTTTTCTTCCTGACACAAATCCCATATCATGGTTCCTGGTGACACGGCAAAAACGGTTATCAGATTCGCGCGCTTCAAGAACGCGGTTCTTGAGCTCTTCGAGGCACCTCTTGAATCCACCAATTACATCGCTTTCTCTCATGTCTGGGGCGACTGGGCCTGGGTTTCGATCCAGGGCATACCGTACGAGGTCAAAGCATCACAAGAGAAGGCACATTTTATCGCAACCCGCCTTCCCGCCTTGGTGGGTGATGGTGCCTTTTGGATGGACACGTTGACAGTCGATCAGCGAAATCCAGTTGAAGTCTCAGAGATCGTGGATGCCATTCCCGATATCTTCAGGATGGCAAGAAAGACAATAGCGGTCAGGGAATGCGACGGATTTCATGACTGCTGCATCGCTGCTGTTACTGGGTTCAAAAACTCCACGGACTTTACCGAAAGACTCTATGATCATAGCCGTGACCGTATTGACCATCTCTGGGCTGAGTCGTACCTTCAGAGACTGTGGACCCTGCAGGAGTGCTTACTCTCTCATACGATTGAGTTTGTGGTTGGAGATCACAGTACGTTAAAGCAATTTGCTTGTTGCTTGTGGTTGACCAAAGCTCAGACCAACCCAAGGAGCTCGCGATGCGGGAACGGGCTCGCGACGATAGTGATATTAACCAGTATGAGTCAGAATGCATGACTCTCGCGTCTGCTCTTTTGGTTCTAGCCTACTCTTTCTCCGGCTTTCAGGGCAACACCGCCATACATAAGTTTGTCGAAGCTTATGTTTATGGAGGGACCGTTATCAATTCACGCAGCGTAAAGCGTAGACTGGATGAAGACATCCACTCGGGTCATTTTCTACCGGCGAACCGCGCATCGCGTAGATCAGCTACTATGCCTCGCGACTACATCTTTGCGACCATGCCTTCTTTCCCATGGTATACATATCCGAAGAAAGAGGCCTTGGCGATGTCATTCGGAAAGATTTATCTGGATCTCTATCAACAAGCTGAACGGTCTGGACATGCTTTTACATGCAGGTTCACTCGTTCAATGCTTGATCCTGCATGCACAGATCCCACGGACGGTTGGCGACCAAGCCAATATCTTCCAAGTCCGACGACGCTCGGCGATTTCCTCAAGCTGATGGGACAACGCGTACCCGAGGCTTCGAACGCCTTTTCACGGCATGTACACATTACCTCGGATGTTCAGATCAAGGAACTAGAAAGCGAATGCTCGCCAGACATTTTCATCGCCCGGCTAGAAGCCTGTTTTAAACGGTGCCGAATGCAATGGGAGGAATCATATGGGGGTGGTGAGCTTTCCAAATTCGGACATCTTCCGGATCATCGTTGGAAGCTCGATCACGCCGATGCCATGAGCTGCGGTTGGCTGCCCATTGATCCAGAGGATGCGATACGAGTGTCCGATGACAGAAGTCACTCTCGGACGAACATTGCCCCTGGACTGGGCTTCGTGGAAGACGAAAGTATAGCGGATCTCAGGAGCCTTGATCAGGCTGAGCAAGAGGCGCGCATGAACGAGGCTAGCGAGTACGTGCCACTCTTTGTGCAGGCTAGGAAGATGATACTCTACCTAATGAACAAAGAATATGAGATGCATCAGATGAGTAAAGCGCCGCGAGCGGATTGGGCCTACCTCAAGCAACAGATGCAAGGTCTCTCGTCAACACCATTCCTATGTACCATGCTCCTCCTAGCTGGCATGGTCAATTGTCGCATTCCATTATCTGCCGCTGCGTGGGTCAACAAGCTCTTCGTCCCCGTATTCATTCGCCACCACGAAACCTTTGTTTCCGTCGGGCTTTTGGCAAAGCATGCACGCCAACCCAAGCATCAAAGACAAGAGCCTCTTTCCTTGTTATGTGTCGGTCAACACCTGCCTCCGCCCGATGAGAAGGCTTTCGGAAATGAGTTGTTTCTCGTAGATCCAGAAACCAAGGTGCCGGTTGGCTTGGCCCCTGATATGAGCTCTGAATTTCACACGGATGAGGAACTTGCAAAAGTCGCGCTTTCTTTGTATAGCGGCTGTTGTACGGATTTAGGAGACAACAAAATGGCTATCACTCCCCGTCTACTGTCTGATGAGCCGTCTGTCCCCAGGACGACTTATATCGTGGGTCCTCAGTAGGCGGTTGAGGGTGGATGCCGATGACGGGATTGTGTGTAGCTGTCGAATAAAACCGAAAAACTCAGAGATACTCTCCTCTGTGTACGATGTGCGGTAGAAAGTCCCGATTAACTCCGACGAATCCAGAGTACTTTAGCGCGCCCTTAGACGCCCTCTGTCCGGGGTTTCTCTACACCCCAACCATTCACTGTCATTCCGGAGAAAACATGTTCCGAGCAACTGACTACTCGCGACCGCTCCACGACCGTTTGCTCAACCGCTTCTCACTCAATCGCTCCTCCCTCAACCGCCTCTCACTCACCCCGCAGCTGCAATGTCGGGACCAATCTACACACGTCGTGGGAACTTGCTCATCCCTGGTAGCTCGCAAGTCTCCGCACCGCAGGCCACTCCAGTGAACAGTAAGTGCGCGTCTTTTTCTTACCATCTACACTATCCTTGCTGACTATGCACCTAGAGATGGTAGCTGAGCAACATCGCAAGTTTGGGAAACTCGCATCGAACGCGGCTATGGATTTTCCATCTCACGAACAGCGCCCTGGTCAGTCGGAGTCCGCTGAGAAGCTCGAGGCGCAGAAGACCGACTACGAGGCAAGGATCGCCGACATGAGGAAGGTGTCCCAGGCCAACTTAGAGAACACCATCAAGGACTACGAGGTCAAGCTCAGCGAAAAGGAAAAACTCCAAGAGATCGAGATCGAACACGTGAGGGACTTCATCAACCATGATGTCGTTGAGATCAAGAAGAAATCCGAGACCAAGCTCCACGACCTCGCCGAGAACTACGAGGCCAAGATTGCCTATATGGAGGCCGAATCGCAGTCCAAGCTCAGCGACGAGAAGAACCACTGCGATTGGCTGCTCGAAGAAATGAGGAAGGGCCATGAGAGCGAAATCGAGGAGATCAAGAAGGAACACGCGCTCGAGTTTGAAGCCGCGCAGGAGGACTACGAGGCCAACCTCGTCAGGCTCAATCATGATCACGCGATTCCGGGACGTGTCTTCGAAGAGAAGACCTGGAGTCTTGCGGCGCTCCAAGAGACAGAGACCAAGGAAGCCGAGTTCCTCAGCAAGTCCGCCCAGCCAGACGTGGAAGCGAAGGATGCAGGCCTGCTCGCTGACAAGAAGCCGGACACCATCGACAGGAAGCCCGAAATCGACGCCCTCAAAGGCACCATCGACGCCCTTAAAGATACCGTCGGTATACAGATGGTTGCTGCAGAAGATCTCCGCGAGACCGTCAAGGACCTTCGAGAGCGCAACGCAAAGCTCGAAGCAGAGCTTCAGAAGAAGTAGGCGCGAGCCGCGATAATTCGGCGCTGACACTTTCATGACAACTAGATAACCCTGGAGGTTCTCGATGTAGCCATAAGATGTGTGTAGAATATGAAAATGCTGTAACTAGCCCCGAGCCCTTTTGACAGATCCGTGGAACACGTAAGGTCTGATGTACAACGTAGAAGTGTCAAGCCGACGCCTACAGGTAAAGACGTCGCGAAGGTCGGTAGACCTCCCAAAACGTCGACGAAAGTGACAGATATGAGACCGTAAGTGCGTGTGGCTTCACGCATAGAGTCAACAGTAACTCTTGATCTTACACATTAGCAGCTAATACATACGGACTATCTCTTCCTCCTCTGATAACATTAACAGAAGCATCCCGCCTCTCAAAGTGCGCTAACATCTCAAAAGTGAAGGTGAAAGTGAGTTGTTAGCTCCTCGCTAGTTGCGCTGCGTTTGTCAAATTTGGAAATTTCACCCACTTCAATTTCTATCCTGCGCTGTTCTTGCTACTTCCTTCCTTGAAGACAGCTTTCAATACTTCAGTCACCAGCTTCTTGTCGCTGTCCCTTCGCTTGCTTACCTTCATTCGCTCCCCTTCGCGCCGACACCGGCCATCGTCATGACTGACCCCAGCGCGCCTTCAGAGGAGGACGCTAGAAGGGCACGCATAGAGAGACGTACGTACTTCCAGCATTCGTACTTCCACCATTTCCAGTACCGAGGTGGCTGTGCTAACCCAATACCCAGACCGCGATGTGGTCGACATGCTGGCTAAGGGCATGACGAACGTCAATCTCCGATCGAGTGAAGATTGGAGTGCTCTTGCACGCGACAACCAGACAAAGGCCGCCGAAGAGCTCAAGAAAGAGAGGGAAACGTGCGACACCAAGATCGAGAAGATGAGAGCGGAGTGCGATGCAAAGGTTAAAGAGGCGGACGACAAGGTCAAGGAAGCCCAGATTACTGCGCAACAGAACTCAAACAACCTCTACAAGATGTCGGTCAACAAAGCTGCCGTTGAGAAGCGACTGGAGACCCAAGATGCAGAAGTCAAGCGCCTGCAGACGTTCGCAGACTCGAGCGCTGAGAACACCATGCTCAAGTCGACTGTGGCGAAGCTGCAAGCCCAGCTTGATGCCGCGACCGCTACATCCTTCAAAGAGGCAGCTGAAATACGGACGGAGGCTTCCATCGATTTTGCAATATCTGCAGCGACACGCGAAGCTGACATCGCGCGTGAAATGTTACAAAAGACGGAAGACAACATAGCCTCTGAGCTCGACTCCCGCGATACTAATATCGCAGCCCTCGAAGCGACTATCGCGGCCCTCAAGGACTGGATCGCCGCAGACCAGGTCACTAAGGCTGATCTACGCGAGACTATGCGAGACTACCGTCTGCAGCTTAAGGAGATGCAAACTACCATCGACCAGCGATCCGCCGCCATGGAAAAGCTGACCGAGGCCTACGACAAGGTCACGACTACGAACAGCAACCTCTACCAACAGCTCCACGAAGCTCACCTTCTGACCCTGACGAGTCACGAAAGTAACACGTTGACTCAATAAGACAGGACACCCTAGAGCCTACGTTAACGTTAGGTTACCCATTTTGCAAGTTCTTATCTTAATGTAGTCTGCAGACTTCTTCAGTTCTTTTCGTGTATGAAGTGGTAAGATGAATGTTAGAAGAACAACGACGTTAGGTTACCTACTTTGCAGGTTTTTGTCTTGATGTAGTCTGCAGACGTGTTCAAGTTTTTTCGTGTATCAAGTGGTGAGATGAATGTAAGAGAAGAACGGCGTGAATATATCCATGAGTAGAGCGAGTGACGTGAATGAAGAGGAGATATTTTTGCATTGGTATTGAGTACATCTAGTCGTCTCGTCGTCCAAGTTCCTTCCTTGTCCCACCTATTTCCATCCCTTCCACCCCTCCTATTTACCCTACCATACCATACAGTCCATGTACATCCGACATATATTTTGTTCCCTTGAGCCATCCGCCCTGGTCTATCTAGATATACAGCGAGCGCGTTTTGGTGTCGTCGGTATGCGTAAAGTACATGCCCATCCATCTCCCTATGGCGAGATCAACCACCAGCCAAACCAGTCCAAAAACTCCAAAGAATGCAAGCCGAAGCCATACCTAAAATCCAAAAGAAGAAAGCGCGTCAGATTCGTAAAAGCTACTGGTAACATGTCTGTAGGTATGATACAGATCGTTATCGCGCAAACAACAGCACTTTTTGTGGTATGTATACTTTTGGCGTAGCTTCGTGACAATATGAGACAACGTCAAAAACATGACATAGCAAGTTTAACGCTTCCTGGGGTTCGTCGGCTTCTTCTTCGACGGTGTCTTCTGCGCGTCACCCTCAATGTACTTAAGGAGGTCCTCGATCTTGCGCTGGTCGACGCGACCACTTCCAGTGCGCTGGCTACCGGCGGCGGCAGCGGCATCACTAGCGGAGGGCGTCGCGGCAGCCGGACGCAGGGGGTTGCGGCCGGGAAGCTGCATGCGACGGATACGCGTCTTGGCAAGGTCGTTGAGTTGCTTGGCCTGAGAGACAGCGCTGTGAGTGAGCTGTTCGAGCCAGCTCTCGGCTTCCTTGGTGTTGCGATCCTCCGCACCGAGCACCTCTTTGAAGATGTTGTAAGACTCACGCATGCGGTTGACACCACCGCGCATGTCCTTATCGAGGGCCAGAGCTTGGGCGGTCTGGAAAAGCAGAGTCGCTGTGTTGATCGAGTTCTTGCCGCAGACCTCCTCGCAGACGGCGAGCGAGGCCTCGAACCAGAGTCGCGACTCGTGGTACATCTTCGCGGCCTGCAGCATGACAGCGGCGTTGTTGAGAGTTGTGATGGAGTCGGGGTGGTCGGGGCCGTAGAGGATCTTCCACAGCTCAAGCGCGTGACGGACGTAGATCAGAGCGGCAGTGGTGTTACCCGAACCGTGCTCGAACAGACCGACGTTGAGGTAGGCAAGCACAGTCTCCGAGTGATCGACACCGAGAGTGCGCTCCGACACGATGATGGCCTTGTGTGCGAGCTCAAGAGCCGAGACCTTGTCATCAAGGCTGTAGAGCAGGTTCGACAGGGTGTGGTAAGCCTTGGCGACCTCAGGGTGCAGCACACCGTAGATCTGCTCGTGTAGCTGGAGAGACTCCAAGAGCAGTTCTTGGCCAAGCTCCTTCTGGTCCTGGGCAATGGACATGCGACCTGCCTCCAGTGCCTCCTCAGCCAACAAGCTCTTAGGTGAAGCCTCCTTGATGACAGGGACAATGTTCAGAATGTCGTCTGCGTGGAAGGTTTGTGGAGCAAGAGGAACAGTAGGGCTAGCCGTGCGGGCTGGTGGGGTGCTGATGGACTTGTTCTTCTTCTTCTTGGAAGATGTGGAGTGGCCGTTAGTCTGCGGCGCAGCGGGCTTCTCGGCCGGCTGGCTGGCGGCAAAGGCCTCCTTGGTGAAGGCGTACGACTTGCACTCCAGCTGGAGACCAAGCTTGAGGGAGACCTCACGGAGCATCTGCATCTCCTTGCCAGACTCGATCCACGACTGACCGAGGTCGTAGCGGAATCGTAGGGCAACCTGAGCAACGACCTCTTTCTTGAGGGCCTCAGGTGTGAGCTTCTCGAAGCTAAAGTCATCCTCGGGGTACATCTTCTTGAGGCTGCTGTCGCACTCAGCCACAGGCTTAGCGCTAACATCGGCGCCGAGCAAGCAGTTGAGGAGGTGGGCGGCTGCGGGTGCTGCGAAAGGCGCAGACACGTTGCGCAGCTTGGAGTTGGCAAAGTGCTTGAAACCACGTGCGATCATCTCCTGGATGATGAGACGCTTCAAGGCCTGAAGCCTTGGGTCGGGCTTGTCAGCCAGCTCAGCAAGCTTTCCAAGGTAGCGCATGTTCACACCCCGCTTGTGCAAAAGGTTGCTCAGGGACTGGCCGTCCATCGGGAAACCGACTTCGCCCTCCTTGAGCTCCTGGACCGTGCGAGGAATGACCTCCGCAGTGAGGTGCTCGCAAGCAGCGCGGACCTCAGCCTCGTCCTGAGCCCACTCCTTCTTGTCCTCCTCTGATTGCGGGTTCTGGCCCGAGAAGACATCAGGGTTGAGCGCGAAGGAGAATCCGGAAATGTCGACACGCTCTTGCTCAGGGTCTTCGGTCTCAGGCTTCTTCTCCTCGGTCTCCTTCTTGGCAACCTTGGCAGCCTTCTCCGCGGCCTTCCTCTCCGCCTTGGAGATCTTTTTGGCCTTGGGCATCTTCTCTTTCTCTTCATCAGAGTCCTCCTCTTCCGAAGAAGACTCCTCCTCAGATGACTCCTCTTCCGAAGATTCCTCTTCAGATGAACTTTCTTCAGCCTTGGCCTCCTTCGCAGGGGCTTCGTCCTTCTTTGTGGTCTTCTTGGCCATCTGCTCCTTGACGTACTCGCGGAGTTTGACCCTGCCGTATGACTCTACGAGCTCAGGGCGGAGTGTTGTCATGCGGTGGGGGTAGTCCTTGTCTGTCGCCTCCTTCTCGCCCTCCTTGCTGGGCTCGGTCCAGTGTGCCTCTATCCAGGCAACGTCGAGAGGTGTGAGGCGGTAGAGATCCAGAGCGTACCGCCTGCCGTCAGTGCCGATCAGACCCTTAGTCTCAACACTTCCCTCCAGCTCGTGACGGACATTGTCCTTGTCCCAGACAGGATGCTTCTTGACGCGCAGCGCCTTAGAGAGCTGCTCGAACAGCGGGACGAACGACTTGTCATCGGCGACAATCTCCTTGCCCTCAACCGCGCCGTAATCGATCTGATGCTCGCCGGGGTCGCGCTGCTTGAAGATTCCGGGCACTATGCTCTGGCCAACAATGCGCTTTCCTTGGTAGTCGACAACGACGGTTCCGGAGGTGAAGAGGTTGTTGATGTCGAGGTTGTTCACAGCGCGGACACCGAAAACGTCCTTGCCCACAGCCACGCGCGCAGCCTCGTCACCACCCTCAGCGCCGAAAGTGCCGACGCCATCAGCGCCGAAGGAGTAGAAGATGTTGTTGTATACGAAGATCTGCGCGTCCTTGGCCTCGGTAGGGTTAAGAGGCGCAATCTCGCCCCGTGCTACCAGCATGGCACCGCGGGTCGCAGCATCGTTGTAGTCAGCAAACAGCTTTGACGTGAGGCGCTCGCGGAAGACGCGGTCGTGGACGGCCTCCTTGGGCATCTCCCTCGTCGACTGAAACTCCTCATTCCAGTCGCGGAGGGTCTCCGTGTTCTCAACACCCGAGATCAGATAGCTCTCCTGTGTCCGCGCGAGATCCGGCTGGTGTGGGGTGAGGGATGACGTGGGTGCGGGGACCAACCATGGGTTGGCGGGGATGGCGTTGGAGAGCTGGAAGATGGTAAGCAGCTCCTTCTTCGCATTGTGCTCAAGAAGTTCCTGGAACGAAGTGCGGAAAGAGGGCGACAGGTCCTCGAGAAGAGTGAGGAGCGAGTGTGCCTGCTTGTCCTTTGGTGGCTGGCGCGGGAAGGGGTCGAAACTGGCATTCGACGACTTGTTGACGTAGAAGCCGGAGACGTGAGCTGTGATGTGGTGTTGCTCGTTCTCGTTGGTGGTGACTACCAGGTACAGCAGGTGGCCCTTGGAGCGGAGGTGGTATGGCGGGGGGTTCCAGGGCGATACGGCGATGGATTTGATCGTCTTGGGCGCGGCTTCCTCGGTGGGCGGCAGCAGGTTCTTGATGTTGCCCGATGCCTTGAAGTCGTAGTCTGCCAACGGCGACTGTTCTGGGCCGTCCTGCTTGGGCTTGGAGATCTGCTCGTGGCCGACAGTGTCGTGTAGTGACAGGCCAGCCATGATGCCGTGCAGCGCATCGGTACGGTCACCGGCAGCGCCGATGAGCTCGCGTACGCGGACCACATGTAACCGCGCCTCCTTCTCTGTGTATGGGTCCTCCACCAGGGTGAGTACCGAATCGGCCTTCAGTCCCTCGACTTCAGAGAGTTCGACGTAATCGTTGATCCGCTTGCCGTCGTGCTCCAGGTGGAAGCACGAGTACTGGAACGTGTGGGGCGTCTCGATGATGCTCTGACGGAGGTCTTGCACCTGCTCGGCCGTTGAGATCTGGAGTCGTGAGTTTGTCGTCTATATTTTCTTTTCTAATTCTCAATACGCACCGTTATCGGCATCTCAAACGGCTCGTGTGGGAGCTTGATGGTGACCTGGAAGATGTCTACGACATTATTAGATATTTCCTACACATGGTAAATCAATTGACATACTGTCTGGCTGCTGGCCAGCGCCATCTTCCTCTGTGCCCTCATTCTGCCCCTCCGTGGTGACGTCTTTGCTGGGCGTCTTCTCGACCTCTGTATTGCCATTGATGTTAGCCATGGTGTGCGAAAAGAGTTATTGCGCCTCGGAATAAATTTCCATCGCTGTCGTGTGCGGGCGGGAAGCTCACCAGACTTGGAAGCGTCATTGGTACTAGCGGCCATGATGGCGGGCTGTGGATATGTCGAGAAACACTACGACGCCGGGAAAGAACGACTAGGGAAAGAGGGAATCGGTCTAGGGAAGGAAGGAGATATACAAGAATGGCGCATTAATGTACAATGACATGCGGCGAGTGATGGGGAGAGAGGTGACTCTCCGGTCATGTCTCCAGAATATTTTTCTTGAGGGCGCCGGGATGGTCCGCTAAGCTCGCTCTCCACTTCCGAGGCCACAGGCATGTCATCGGGAAAACGGCCCCCATGCACCGGGGGTCAGCAATATCGCGTGAATTTCCGGCGTGCTGGAGTTGCCATGTCCTACACGCCGTGTCTGTCTTCACGTCGGTTATCGATATGGTGATTGACGCGAGTTCCACCATGCTGTCACCACGGTCGCTCCTGCCGTTCGCACTTGGCACTCGCACTTGGCCCCTGCGGCAAATTATCGCAACACCAGCGTAACAAGGCCGCGGTACCTCCTTTGGCGTCCCTCTCCTCCAATCTCGTCCCGTCCATCTCAATCATCTCTCCTTTCACGCGTCTGTCTCTCGTTTAACTCTCATTCATTCCTTTCCTAGTCCATTCCACGTCTGTTGAACCTCTGGCTGCGCCTACGTTTGACACGTGTAACATTGGAAAGCACGCGACACCAACGTGACTTGGAACGCGCCAGCGCAATAATGTTAATGCTACGACAAATCACGCGCGCTCATGCCGCGTTGACACGACAACCTTTCGCGTATCGGTCTCAGCAGGCTGGTCCGGTACTGCTAAGAACAAGGTTATGCCAGCCCTCTTTGGCGCGCGCTCTGAGTGGCCAATCCGGTCCTCCGACTCCTGGCAACGATGCGCCAAACCCCATTGACGACGCTGCAGAGCGTCTGGAGGAAGAGGAAGAGCAGCAAGAGGAGAAACGCGAGAAAAAGAAGGCAGAATGGAAAAGCACAGCCTGGAAGATGTTTGAGGCTGCTGCTACTACCGGGGCCAGCATCTTCATCCTTGGATGCGTCGGCATTGGTTATACTAAGTACTACAAATGGAACGTGCTTGAAAAGATGGAGAACGCTTTTCGGGAAGGCGATCCTGTATTAGAGCTTGCAGCTACTGGAAAGGAGATGCCGAAAGCGGGTGAGCCTACTCGACTACAAGTCAGCAAGGACCTGGACGGTGATGATAAAGACTATGATCGCTGGATCCCACGTGATGAGCAGGAAAGGATTGACAAGATTGTCTGGGGTGAGACGAAAGGACGCTACCATCTGCTTCTCGGCGAGAAAGGGACTGGGAAGACTTCCATGCTCATCGATGCCATGGATAAGATTAATGGTGAGGGATGTTCGATGATGGAAGCCCATGCAGATCTCGAAGTCTTCCGTGTACGGCTAGGTCGCTGTCTCGATTTTGAGTACCACGAAGACAACATCGGATCGCTTTTCTCCATCCGCGGTCCACGCGATGCGGGCGCCATCCTTGACATTGAGCGCGCGTTCAACAAGCTTGAGAAAGTAGCTTTGCGACGACGCGCAACTGTCGGCAGACCGCTCATTCTCATTATCAACTCCGCACATTTGATCCGAGACAACGACGACGGTAGAGACCTTCTCGAACTCATCCAGCAGCGGGCAGAACAATGGGCAGCCGCCAACCTCGCAACTGTCATCATCAACTCGGACAAGTACTGGGTGTTTGAACGATTGAAGCAGTACGCTACGCGCATGGAAGTGCATCAGATCAAGGACCTCAGCAAAGACCGCGCCATGCAAGCCTTGAGGAACTACCGAATGAAATACTACGGCGAGAAGGTAAAAGACTCCATCCTCGAAGAAGTATACGACAAAGTCGGCGGACGCCTCACCTTCCTCAACCGCGTCGCCAAGTCAGAAGACATGGTCGCAAAATGCAACAGCATCTGCGAAATGGAAAAGATCTGGTTCCTGAACAACTGCGCGATTCTCGGCGAGGAGATGGACGACGATGTCATGGACCAGCAGAAATACGCTGTACGTAAACAATATTCTTCGTTGACATTCTCAGACTAACCCCCACAGTCCACAGCCATGGTCCTAGCCAACGCCCTCTACAAACTCTACCACGACATGGAATCAACTTACGACCCAAAAGAAGGCCACATCCTGCCCTCCTTCCCCCTCCACCGCGCCCGCTTCATCATGACGCGCTCCGACTTCATCCGCCAGCACCACGACCTCTCCATCTTCTCCATCGACTCGCACGCCGTAGTCCGCGCCGACTCTGTACCCATGCAACGCGCTTTCAACGAGATCTGCGCCGAGCCCGGTTTCGAAGACTTCCTGGAAGCGACACTTGAGCGTATCGGTGCGATCGAGAGTCTTGGCCGCACGAAGGAACTTACGTTCAAGGATCTTTGGGAGGGGGGCAAGTATCGTATTGTGCAGAAGGATAGCAAGGGGAAGGTGCAGGGCGAGGTGGAGATGGAGACTGTGCCTGGGAAGGGGGATGATGATGACGATGATGAGAAGGATGATTAAATAAGAGGTTCGTTGAGATGTTAGAACGACTGGCTATTATGCGTTTGGATGTACGATATGGGTATGGGCGGCTGGTTTGAATCTGCGTGGCGCTGGTGTCTACTGGGAAGCCACGATACCCTAGAATGTCAGTTTCCTTATCTATCTCCCTTGTCATGTTGCAATCCCTCGTGAGAGGAATGGCGGTTGTTTGCTGCCCCACTCTGGCTCAACACACATCGCTAAAAACTCCGATATCTCTTTTCAAGCTACTAAATTCTGTTCAAAATCACCTGGGCTTTCTGCTCAGCCCACCATGAGACTCTCTTTAACGCTCATAGCTGTCGTGGCTTCGATCGCTCTCACCCAAGATATAGCCAGCGATGAGCCTACCGAGGTACACGTCCTATGGGAACCTGAGAAGGTCGCGGATGACGCAGAATGGGCTGCAGCCCGCCAGAAGGGAGATGATTTGATATGTCGACTCGAAGCCACGGACGAAGCTGCTGGTAGACTAAATATGGACACACGAACACCGCCTTCGGCGCGCAATCAATGGCCCGATGCCGCGCTCACAAGTGAGATAAGTCTCTGGGGTTGGTTTACTGGCGAATATGACCAGAAATCGCATTGCCAATTTGCCGATGATAACGAAGATTACCATGTCAACAAGGTCGGTACGTCGATTGCGCGAGGACGTTCATTCCTATTCCTCCTGGAAAGTCTTCAGGGTTGGATATCGTTCTTGATAGATACTGACGTTTTATAGGAACTATGTTCCAGGATCTTGGTATCAATTCCAGGCCCCATACAAAAGGCGGAGATAATGTGTGTTACAGCATAGAACACTACAACGAGCGCGCCGAAGATGACGATGGAGACACTCTTGCGGCGCAAGACCAGTACTACGACATCAATGGTGTTTGGGAGCGGTGTACCGGTGCGCATGTTCGATTCGGTATCAACCAACGAGGCGGACGTAAGTATCTCCGAGTGGACGTAGACTCACCTTCGTGCGCTACCGGCTCTACTCACGCACACCGTACTAGGAGACATACTAACAGCTCAAAGTGATCATTGGTCTCGACTTCCTCAACCCTAGAACAGCAGCACTGGCAAATTGGGATGACAGCCCAGCAGAAGCTAGCCTCCCGGAGCTCAAGCGCGCCTCGGACATCATGATGGCGTACTGGCTTCGCGGCAATATTGACCCCAAAAGCCTCAAATATTATCTTGTGCTCACCATCAAGAATACGATGACTCTCGCTCTCATCAACAGAGTGTTGAAGAATCATGGTCTCAAAGAGGTACCGTACTGGCCTGGTGTGATAGCCAACATGTACGACGAGGAAGGCCCGGCGTTACTTGGTGAGTAGTCTTGAGCGCCGTACATTGCCCAGGAGCAAACAGGACGGAACCAGTCCTGGCCTACTCCCATACGACATCCAAGGGTTGTGGGTGGTAACGACGCTGACGCACCCCAGGCTCTCCATTGGGTCGCACGCTCGCTTTCTTGCTTTTCCAACACAAGGCAGAGCTGGGTACCAAGCATGTCACTGAAATTGTGATCTTCAGAAACAATTATCCCAGGCATTTGAGAGTTGGTGTACACTTGTTGTTCAGGATCAAAGACGTCCCTAATCCGGCCCCAGCCCCAGCCCCAGACACAGCTTCATTCCGGTCTCTGAGACTTCGAAGTTCGGTTCTGGACGATGAGCGGAGGAATAAGATCTATTTACACGAAATCTTCCAAGATAACAGAGCTCTTGTTATGGGGAGCGCATAGATGATAGGGGTGGAGAGAGGCGTTGTCGGCCATGTCACAGAGGTCTAGATGTCGGGTGAGGCCTATACCACATAGTTAAATCTGGGTTTCGTGGCTACAGAACCCGGATCAGACAAGACACTCGAGAAAATATCTAGGTACTGTCCGTGGGTAGACTCACAGCTCATATGCCTCGAAGGAACTGACTCTGCTCCAGCAGTAGTGCTGCGATGACGTGCGTGACATCCAACAGCGGACATATCTACCGCACTCACATCCTTCAAAATCGTGTGACATCAAGCCCCTTGCGTGCAGAAAGTGCAACAAATGACGTGAACGCCCCACCCGTCCACTAAGCATTCTCGCTAAGCAAGTCCCCACCGACATCCCGCTCGATGACGTCGCACCCATCCTCCTCCCAACCACATTTCCCAATCACCTTTCAACTTTCCCATCGTGATCTTTTCGCCGACCCCAGCCGAGACGCTGATTAATACTGCTTTCACACTGTCATTCGTGGGTCTGGGGCTGCGCGTGGAAGTGATAAGCTTCAGCGAAGCAACGATGGCGTAGGAGCGACGCTAGCACCGCGACGGTTGGCGGGTGCTTGTTTCCCTTGTGGACTGGGCGGGTCTGGAGACGGATTTAACATTGAAGGTTTTCGATTGCGTCGGTGATGGCTGACGGAGAGGGGTGGAGGCGCGACGTAGGTGGTGTGGAGTGGCCAGGAAAGAGGACCCTTAAGTATGCAACTGCCCGTGGGACCTCGGGGGAGGCTCGATACTCGCGCGGTGCTTACCTTACAGACAAGTTTCCTGGCTATCGCGACCAATACGTCGGAGGTGTATTCTATCCGGCCTTCCCGCGCTTCACTTGCCATCCTTCTCTCCAGCCAACTTATCGCGCGCACTTCGTTAGACATCCCCATTTTTCATCTCATTACTAGCATCCATATCCAGTCACGATGGCGGTAATCTGGGGTCTCGACATGAAGGAGATGCAGTGGGGCAAGTTCAAGTCTGGCTACATGTGGAACAACACGTACCACAACCGTCGGACAAAGTTCATCATCTACCAACTCGCCATGATTCTCTGCGTTGTCAGTGAGAGTCTGGGAACGGCTGCGCTGTCTGGTACGACATAATCCTTCTCTGTTTATGGTGGCGACGATAGCCGTCTGTCATCATCCAGCTTGACCACCAGCTAACATCCATCAGACTACGTCGACCAGCAGAAGTTCGTCTCAAAGCTCGACCGTAACGTCATGATTCACAACAACAACTTCGTCGGCATCGCATCGTACAACATCTTCGTCGGTATCTTCGTCGCCACCATCTTCGGTGCCGCCTTCTTCTTCGATCTCTTCTGGCCTGAGCGACAAGAGTCGAGAGGCGTCATCAACGCTTGGAAAGCTTGCTCAGTCTTTGCCTGCATGCTTACGCTCTCCGACGCCCTTGCATACACTTACATCACCGCGAGCAAGAGTGCGCACCTAACCGGCACGGACTTCGAGCGTGGACAGGGCCTGTTGTCGCAGTTCAAGAAGGCTGGTGAGACTCCGCTCGCTTACAACAAGAATGGGCGGGCGATTGCTAGTGTTGTATTCTTGTGGCCGGGCATGATCTTCACTTTTGCCAGGTAAGGCACCTCTATCGGTCCTATCACGTCAACCTAGGGAAAACCTGGACAGGTCTGAAGCCTACATCGACGTTAGGCCACCTAATTTGCAGGTTTTCTTCTTGATGTAGCCTCTAGGGTGTTCAGGTTTTCCCTTGTATGAGGTGCTATCGTACCACTCTTACTGACTCATTTGTCTAGCACATATCTCCTCTGGCACTCGCTGAACCACATCGACAAGCTCGGAGTCTTCTCCGCACATGCCCGTCATCTTGATGGCGCTCAAGATGGCGCAGAGCCCGAACCGAAAGGCAACGCCGTATAGAATTGGCTCCGTAAAACCATCACAGCCGACTCCCGTCCTGACCTCTCTCGTCCCGACCCCGCTGGTCCTGGTCTCTCGCCTCACCAAAATCATGAATTGCAGAACATAAGCAAGTCGCCCTCTGTCGTCACCGCGTACAAAGACGGAACTCCAGTCCGATCGGCTCCTCCCACATACAGTTCCCATGCCGGTCCTTCCTCCCGTGGCGGTCCTTCCAGTCGTCCCGGTCCCTGGACTCCTCGTCGGGATTCAGAGCTGAACAAGCTAAAGAAGAAGCACAAAACAGACATCAGCGTTGTCAGAGACGGACCCGCAGACCCACCTGCTCTCGGAAGGTGGGGAAGTGGAGGTGCTGTGCATGGTCCTGTTGAAGAGACCCTTGTTGAAGAGACGCCTATCGAGACGCTCATAGAGCGGAATAGGGCCGAAGTGCAGAGGTTGCTGCAGGAAGGAGATCCGGATAGGGATGAGATGATAAGGCAACGCAGCGAGGAGTTACTAAACAAGAACAAGGATTTCATCAGCGAGAGGCCGTTGAGTCCTGAGGAGTCTAGATGAGACTTTGGTGAAGGTATTTCGGTATTTGATGGCGTTTAGGCATGAGTGGGATATTGAGTATTGATACCCTGGTAGCTTGTTTTACTTGGATGAGAATGAATAATAGTAATTCTTTCGATCGTTGCGTTGGCTATGTTGATGATGCATCTCACACAATGGGAAAAACTGAACACCCTGGAGCCGACGTTGACTTTGGGCTACCTACTTTGTGTGTTTTTTACCATGATGTAGGCTCCACGGTGTTCAGTTTTTTTCCCTAGGCTGACGTGGATGCACTGTTGTTGAATGTCGATCCTGGATGTATATGCTGTGATGTTGTCTTCTTCATGAAAGATTAGAGTTGATGTGTAGAGATGGACATGTTGTACAGTATTTGACAATGCTACTCACGTATAGCAATTTCGCCAACGCAGAGAGTGTCTACCTATATCCCTACTTAGCTACTTAAGGTCCTGGGTGCACGGTTAGCCTACACGTTCAAGTCCTCGCTGCATATCTTATCGATGAGCTGCAAGCCATCAGGAACATGAAACCCAGCAGTTTCTCTACGCTAGCTATCTCATAACCAGCATCCCATACATCCTTTTCCCAATACCACCTTTCCCACTGCCGCATACCCTCCCACCCCCCTCAGCCCCCATCACGCCACCATCCGCATCCCCAGTACCAGCCTCATTCCAACCCAACGCCACCACGACGTTTCTTTTGCCGGAACGACGGCCCAATGCACACCCATATGGATATCATGAAACCCATCCTCGCTTCTCCGACCCCACCATCTTTCCATGCGGCAAAAAAGCAAGAAAAAAGAAAGGAGACCCTGTGAGAGTTCAAGCCACGACAAGCCACGGCAAGCCATGGTGACGCGAGGGCTTGCGAGCGATAAGAATGATACGAAAAAAAGGAAAGGGGAGATCTCGGGAGGACGGGAGGGAGCAAGAGATAGTGGCGGAAAAGCCACGATGACGTGGATTGTTGTATATGTAGAATGGAATGGGGAGACCAAGGTTTTGGGTGGATAGAGCAAAAACAAACAATTCATTCCAGACGCTCAAGAAACCCGATGACGCAACTGCTTCGCGAGTAATGATATGCTGAGATTGGAGGATGGAGGGGAAAGAGCAAGAGTCGTGTGCATTGCGAAATCTGTAAGAGTCAGCACCAGTGATGAGCCTGGGCTACGGGAGAGTCATGAAGGGGAAAAAGAAAGTAAAACTGTAAAAGGATGAGAATGCGAGGGGAGTTGTAAGAGTCGAGTGTTGCGAAAGCGTATGCGAACACGGGAGATATGCGTAGAGCAAGAAAGAGACCTCAGGAGGGAAAGATGAATCTGCGTAGTAAGACAACTCCGTGAATCAACGCGATGTAGGAAAAGTGTGATCTCGACAACCAGCCTCGATTCTAGATCATGTGGTTTGCATACTCGCAGCGGTCCCGCCAGGCATCGGTAGGCAAACATCGCTTCATCTGTAATACCTAGAGAACAAGCCATATCGTCATCTTCATCGGCATCATCATTGCAGCAAAGCAAGAAACTGTCCCAGGTCTCCATCCGGCTTACCGCCACAACTCACCTCGACCTCAACCTCAAGGAAAGGTTCTGTCCACGAAGAGCAAGTATATCGACCACCAAGCTTCAACGCCTACGACACCGGCTTGTTCATACATACACACAAACTCACCTACCTAGAAACAGCCTCTTGCGGCTCCGCTTCCCTCCAGCATCAGCACAGCGGATCCGACGCCCTCCCCGTCAGCCTCCTCAACTCTGAAACCCAACGTCGCGTCAACCTACCCTCTTCCTCGGCAGCCCCGACACGGCCCTCCATCTGCATGCATGTCATACCCAAGAACGTTGTCTGACATAAGCCCCACTGCATCACATTTCCCACGTGGGTTCCTCCACCCGTGTTCCTTGTAAACATGCGACAGCGACAGCGCCGAGCGATCGCATTTCAATGCAGACAAGGTGCCAGGTTTGCTTGTTCTGAATCCCAAACTACAACGTTACTAAACCTGGGAGCTGAAGGGTTTGCATGAGCGGTTGGTCATGTGAGACGCAGGTGATGAGACGAGGGGGAGAATTGGAGATAGTTGGAGATGGGATGGGTGCTGTTGCTGTATTGTTCCGAGGAGGCGAGATCGCGACGGTGTTAATGCCGGTGATGTGCCGATTGTGGGACCGAGGTAACCAAGGGTACTTGTAATCAAATCAATCTCAATCGCTGGAACTCTACCAGCCTACACACCAACCTACCAGTCCCATATCTTCTCGCCTGCCACCCAAGATTTGACAGCTGTACTGAATTTGCCCATCTTAAACCCAACTTTCCAAATATCATCTCGATGGCGATTTGAAACTCGATGAAAAGGTTCCTGTGTGATTGCCTTGGTCATAAGTCATAATGACAAACGGAACACGGGGGGAGGGTACGGAGAAAAGCGCTCAAGCTCGGCGTAATGACATGTCGCAGCCCTACGCATAACCCCCGAAGAACCCACCTTGTACCCTCGCTTTCTAGAAACACGTTCGCGCATCAAACGAACCAAGCCCTGTTCAGCGCGCGCGCGTCAAACAGATTGGGAGCTGTCATTCCAGTCGCGTGCATTCCAGTCCAGCAACCGCACCGCAACTAACATTCCAACCCAAACCAAGGTCCCCGCGACCGAAACAAGCACATCTCGTGTTTCCTGTGTTACATGGCGAAAGCTTGCATATACACAACTGCGACAAATCATACGTACCACATCATCCCATTCCTGCCTGCCTAATCGATAAAGCCCATGACAAACTTCCTCCCCGTCGCGTCGTCGTTTCAAATAATCCCACCTATAAACTTCGAGTGGTGCCGGTCTATCAAAGAATTGAGATCATCACTCGCAACCCGTGCCAACGGTGTTTCAGCACCCAACGGCGTCTTTACTAGGTATAGCGTACCACGTCCTGCCCGCCCATCCTAGGTACTTTCCTATCTGGGAAGCTAGCGTGGGAAAAGCGTCGGGCTGGAAGGGAAGCTGACGCTAGTACAACACGAGACTTCGCGTGGAAGCTATGCCGCGGTCGATAGGGCAGTGTTGGCGTTGCGCTGGGCTTGCCGCTTTAATCAAAGTTACGCGGGCTAGCGTGAAAGCGGTTCCCGTGTCCGCGAAATGAGGATGCGTCTGCGAAGGGAGGGATAAGTAGGGCTGAAGAAGGGTTTGGGGAATGATGCAAGGCCGGTAGGAAGGCTGGTTGTCTGTGCGCGCAGTGAGTTGTGCATGGACATGGATTGCGGCGTCATTGGGAACGAGAGGTAATTGCGAGAGATCGCGATGGCTTGCGTGGTCAATCTTGCGCGCTGGAGGATATGCTTGTTGTGAAATTTTTGGGTTCAGAAGTATCTAGGCAGGAAGACGGGAGAGCAAGCCGTGGGCTAGAGGACGTGTCTTGATTTGTTCGGGTTCTGCTTTTGCCGTTGGGCCTAATTGTGTGCGCGTCCATATCGATTGAACGCTATCGAGGTGATGAGCTAGCGATTAGCCAGCCATGAGTTTATTTGGAAATGACGCTTCGCCGTGGTTGCAATTGCGAGCACGACTTCAAACTGTCCGGCGATCGCTCATAACCCTAGAAATGGAACCTGGGCCTGCTATCTCCACAAGCTGAGGTGTGTTAGTGACGAAACAAAAAATAGACGTGGTGTGGGAGAGCGTGGGATGTGACCCGGTGGGCGGGAAGTTTCAAATAACGAGGAAGGTGCGTGGGGTCGTACCTTCTCATGCCAGCTGAGCAGTACGCTCATGGCTTGGCCGCCACCCTCACCGCCGCCACGAGTGTGAATCTGCGAGAAGCCGGTCGGTTGGGGGGTGATGTCGCGCTTGGTGCCTGATGGTGCACCCTGTGCCATGCCTTTGTAACTGCAAGTACTTTCGTTAGTCTATGTTTCTGGATGTGCGACGGTGGCGCGGGGTGATGCGGGAAGGCACGATGGGCAGTAGAGGTCGGTGGGCGGTGAGGCTTGTGAGAGACCCAAACGAGACGGTGGACGTACATGTACTTCATCAGGACGTCCAATGCTTCGGTTCCACCCGGCGCACCATATATTCGGCTGAGCATTGGTGACATGTCTGACTGGCGTATGGACTGTAGGATCTCGATGACGACCGAAAGGTGGACTTCCTGTGGTGGCAGACTCGTCAGCTTGGTCCTGGGTGGTGCAATGTCGCCGACCTGGTCGTCGGTAGCCCAAGTCCAGAGACGCGGTGGTGATGTGACCAGGTGTCTATATCTGGAGAGACATCCAAACCGCTGGACTGGGAGTGTCGTGTCTCTGATTTGTCTCTGGAGCTTCTGGAGCTGTCTCGAGCTATGCTGAGGCGCAACGTACCTTTCCCTTGTCGTCCGCGCCATATGGGGGGTTCTCTAAGGCACTCTGGAGGGCGCCCTCATTGTCACCACCCCGTAGTAGTTGCCGTATTGACTGGGCGTTGGTCTGGACATCGGCTGTCGAGACAGGCGCAACGGCGGGAGCGAGGGAGCTTAGGTCGAAGTTGGCGGGGCTGTCGGGGTCCAAGGCGTCGATGTTGATGGTCCGCCAGTTGATGTTGGCCATGGTGGGTGGTGAGGCTTGTGTACGGAAGAGTATCTAGCTGCAAAGAGACGGCTGGGTTGGTGGTGGAGCTGTGGTGAGGTTGCAATTCGGCGCGCCGTATTCGTGGGGTGCAGTGCCATGTCTCCACTCTGCCCGCCAAGCTTCGAAGCTACCCAGTCCAGCGCCCGCAACGTCTGGCAAAACACCCACCAGGTAGCACGAACCAGGGTCGCCGCTCGATTCCGCTGCATGCGGATCGCTAAGGCCTATCGATGTACCCGCGACGGAGATCCGCAGCGCCACACGTGTGACGGGAGTACCACGGGGGTGGGTGAAAGCGATCACAGCACATGCAATGTCATCATCGTGTAGGAGGATATGATAGTAGTAGATGTTGATTAGTCTAAACTTCAGCCAGTTGAGTCGCGAGACACAAGTACAATGGCCCAGGCGCTCAGTCTAATGTCCAAAGCTATGGGGAGAGCGGCCCATGCATGTCGTTCATGAGGAGCCGTCTAAAGAAAACAAATCCGTTGAGTCGTGGTCGCCGATTCGACCACTCCAACGCGCTATAGTACAATACAACTCGTGCCATGAGTGCCAATGAAGGCTGGCGACGATCAATCTACCCCAGTGCGCTGTCCGAAAGAAAGAAATGAAGGTCCGTTTTTGGTATCTATGCCTGGGCCCAACCGTCTATAAGAACGCCGATGAAAAGAACTTTTTTGCCGTAAGGGAATGTCGCTGAACGTGTGACGCAAGAGAGTGAGGAGGCTGTGCGATGAGACTCGCTTGATAACGCCGGTAGCCGAAGTCGCAGGGGTATTAGGTCGCTGAAGAATCGAAATGGTCGCCGATGATTAAAGTGCGTAAAGTCCAAGAGGCTCCGTGGAAGAAGATGCGCCGTAGACCCAGAAATCGGCGCGGTGAATGCGCTGGAAATGTGTTGTACGCGGGACTGAGTCATTGTTAGTTGACGTGTTCATGCAGGGTGCGACGTGTCTGTGACTTACAAGGCGTGGGATGGATCCCTTTAGTCCCAACGGAACAAATAGCTTGCCAACGTGATGGCATTGCGAGGAAGCAGGCAATGGCGGCAGGCGGAAAAAGAATTGCTCCGTCGAGAGGTGGTGACGCATCTTATTTGGGCGGTGGTGGAGGAGGCTTGGGGGTGCCAGTGGTGTCGTAGGCTCCGCGACCCATGTTGTTGGACTCTGACTCTCTGAAGATCATGTTGTTGACGAGTGTGTTCTCTGGTTTATAAGTCAGCATGATGTTGCACAAGAAAGTCAAATATAGACCCGGTGAATGCAGGACGTACCAATTGAGGAATGCGTTTTGTGAGAGGTGCCGGGCTGAACACCTGGCCTGTGCGAATATTTTGTAAGGACGAAAAGTGAGTGTGGTAGTCGGCGTTGGTTCGTGTAAAGGCGATACAAAGAGCGGAGCGGCGGTGGACGAGCTTTATTAGATAGTGTCGTGTACCCGTGGACTGGCTAGCAGTGACTGGGGAGTGGGGAGGGGTGGAATGAGTGTGGGTAGTTTGAAGGGAGTGAAGATGATGATGGCAGTAAACGAAGGGCGCCCTGAAGCTTCTATATTCGCGGCTAGAATAAGGGGGCCTGTTACTGACTTGCCAAAGGTGGTCTTGGCTGTCGGCGAGACAAATGAAATGAGAGACAGTGCTTTTCAGAGCAAAAGCCCTGACTACATTGCGCATCGGGAGCGACGGGTCTTTCGGCCTGTTTCAAGGTAGGCTCCCTTGCCATCATCAGGAGCCAGGGTGATCTGCGCACTGTTACCACCAAGCTGGTTATCCCCCTTGAATAGTGCCGCGCTAGAAAGCCGTACCTGCAGGCGCTAACGAGAGCCATGCCAACGGCTTCGCTGGGGTGCCAACCTGCGAAGGGTGTGCTTGTGCTGACGCTTCAGTGCCTTTTCACCGTAACATGGCGTAACATGGCGTACCATGGAGGCGATTCTCAGGCGCGTCTCCCAGCGCTCTCACTTGGGCTCGCGGCCCTATCGCATGTGCTCTGGCTGTCGCCGCGCGCTTCCAGACACGGCGGCTTAGATGAGACAGTGTCAGCGCTCCCGTCTCGCTGCTTTGACCGGCGGCGTCGACTCGTGCCGCGTTTGTTGGACTGCGCCAGAAGCAAGAAGAGAAGGTTCAGAGACGCCACACAGACTTCCGGATGTCCTTCCCCGGCCGGTCCACTGCCTATGCTGAATCACCTCTCTGGCAGCCCTGTCTGCCCTCCATGCCTCCCAGCCAACCGGGTCACTGGCTGTCGGGATCGCAGTGCACTTGCCTTTGACCGTGGCGGCTGATGTTTGACGGGACATGTTCATAGCAGCTTGCTTTTGTGGTTTGATGAACCGTAGGTGTCTTGCAGCCTTTGCTTCCTGTCGTTGCTTGTGACGGGGTTGCGCCACGTGGGATGGGCTGCTCCTGCCTCAACCAACCCTCGCGTGCGTGGCGATGAGGAAGGAGCTGCCCTCGCCGCAGCCCAGGCACCACCATCACATCTGCGGCGTGCAAACAACTATGCCTCTGCACCGCGGCCGCCAAAGCAATTCGCCAGCAGCATCGCCAGGTGCCGTAATGAGAGCGTTGCCCGGCTTGCGGTGAGTGGGCCCGGCGCCACGAAAATCTCGCCTGCGGTTTGTTCTGGAAAGCCTCTGGAAGGAAGAATGAATCGCCCGCTGAGTCGCCCTCACTCCCAGGCTGTCCCTGATCATCGCAGACAACCTGACACAGAATGCGCACTTATTCACGACCAAGAAATTTGGCCGCCGGTCGTTCTCAGACACGTCGCATTCGCGGATCACTGCAAGCCTTCCGCGCCTCCAAGCACACGGATGCTGCATGCGTTCGACGTCCCGGGATCATGACCAGCAAGGTTTCGCGCACAATCGCTTGCTTCTCCAAAAAACCTACACGTCGCAGCCCCGTTGACGCACTCGCTCACCCACCACGGAGCCCAGCCGTCGCCATGACGAATTGTTTCTGGCACGGAAGGAACGATGACATCGCTCTTTCCCCCTTGGGATTCCTCCGTATTACAGCCCGCCGTCCATCGTAAACACATTTGCCAGAATGCAGCCGTTATGCCAGTCCAATAATATAATTCGCAAGCAGCACCAACCCTGATTCGCCGTCCAGGGTATCGACAGGGGTCGTGTGCTTCACAATCAGGCTGAGACGCGCGACAAGGGCATCCCGTCCTTATCCACTAGCCTCACGCAGAGACATGCCGAAAGCCACGCGACACCGCCCAGCGCTCGACCAGCGTGTTTGCTCATACCGTCTTGTGTACAGTACTGTACTGAGAGATCGCTGTCTTCCGCTGATACCTGCGCCCGTCGTACGTTGGGCTGCCACAGCCTCACGCCTATCAGTGCGGGAGCGTTGAGGGCTCAAACAGCGTTCGCGATCTTCAGTCCATGCTCGCTCAACTCTATCCTCGCGATCGTGATTCACAGCCATCATCCGATAACCAGTGCAGCGTCGTCACACATCGACAGGGTCTGAACTCCGTCAGGTCATCTTCCTCTCAACGTCCGTCCAAGCCACCGACGTTTTACTGGCAGCATCGCTGTCAATTCCGACCGCCTTGCAATTTGACAGGTGTTTGACGGATTTCTCCACAGAAAACTTTGTCGAAATTGTGATCGTGAGTTAGACCTTGCGGGGAGGAGGGAAAGTGGGTCCTGGAACGGCTTTTGGCACTTCCTCTTTGAGCGCGCTACTGCAATCTGCGTGCCAGTCCCAGCGATGAGAAGCGAAGCAAGGGTTGTCATCTCCAAAAGGATCATCGCGTACAAAGAGAACCCTGTCTACACGTGGAATTCTGCTCTGTGTGGACCTTCGCCTGACTACTGGAAGAGGGCCCGCGAGCCGCTTCGCCGATGTACCAGCGCATTCATGCCGACTCAAGGCCAAGTGTGCGCTGTACGAACTTTGCGCTGCTGCAGAAGGAGAGTTCCATGAGCACCGTCGCACTAGCTGTCATGTTGACAGGTACTGGCTGGGGAATTCGGTACCATTAGCCGGCGGAGCCATCTACACAAGGCAATTCAGCTTTCGAGCGTCGCATTTCATAGCGTTTCACGCAGCCCTATTCGGGCCTTACAGTGTAACGTAGGAACTACCTTTGAACGTCCAAGCAGGCAAGACGTTGCGCCGGGTTATTGCGAGGCCACTGCTGAAAGACCTGCTTCATCTCGGATTTGTCGCAGAGCTCCCCGGACGCCAGCGTGAAAGCGATCAACAAGGATGACTTCACATCCACGTAGCCCATCACTCGTCCCTGATGATCTCCTTGCGCTGGCGCCCAAATCACTACTCTTTGGGCTACACAGTCCGAGGCCGCCTCTCCCCCGATCGTGTTCCCTGAGCAATTCCGCGTGCCAGCCCCGCGACATTTCTCGCGACTCAATGATTGTCGCACCAGAAAAATTTCCGCCGTCGATCCGGAAGTATGTACCTTTTCGCATCATTCCGCTGCTCCGGTACTCTTGTGCGCCGTCTTGAAGCTCGCTACGCCAGGCCTCGTGCGTCATCTGGCTGCCCTCCAATATGCTAGCATCCGAGGCTGACTGCAGCTGCCGAACACCAGTTCCTCTGCTCTTCGCCGACATGTCCACGTGTGCAGTCAGCACTACCAGGTAGGTTCAAGGTACGCTGCACAAAGAGAAACCTTCCTCAGCTTTGTATCGACTGCAACAGAGTTCTTCGATGCACACTAGGAAAATTTCAGTGACATCAGCTCTCCTCAGACACACGATGCCGTTCCACATGCGCGATGCACATGTACGCTTCCGGAACACGATGGATAACCTGCCACTATCGATACACTTTCTTGTTCCTCCGATATCCCAAAAGAATGCGCCGGCTGCAGCCCTCCCAGTAACGCCAAACTCTAGTTTCGAATAACTCCTTTTTGTACTTCGGATGGGAATGGCGTTCCAATTGCGATGGTTTTTGGCTGCATGCGTTACCCGTCGCGTCCCCAATC